TCTTGTCCATGCAGGGTTCTTTCGTAACCCTGCTTCAAACCTGCTTTAAAGTTTAAACCCTGTGTATAGTCCACGGCAGCACTGCGCCACCGGTTGCTTATTCCCAGCGCAAACATAGTACAAGAATCAGTATGAGCTGTTTACTCTGCCCAACCAGTCAGGTTCTGAGTCTCTGACCAAATACGCAAGTTTGAACCCTGCACCATTGAACGGAATATGAACTCGTTACTCTGATCACACACGCAGGTTCAAACCCCGGAGTGATCACACACGCAGAATTGAAGCATTGAACTGGGAATATGAACTCTTTACTCTGGCCAAAGGGGCAGGTCCTTGCCAGACAGTTTTTTTAATTCCTGTCGGGACTATCGAACAGTTCTACGTGTGGCTGTAGTCTTCAGATCTCAGACCCAGCAGGCATTAATAGGCAGGTTAAGAGTCTTAAGACATGCCTCGATTCTGACGGGGGGCGGACAGGTAAGGAGGCTGGACCATGCTCTGTTCGCTTCGTTGTGCTTTTCTTTTATCTAGTTTTGAAATAACAAAACTGAAGCGAAAATAGAAAGAGAGAAGAGGACCACTTCTTGTTCCGTGGCATGGACTCTGTTGCAAACCTCCTGGTGTTGCCGGGATGGTTGTGAACCTGGTTTGGTGGTCGGCATGGTTGTGAACCTGGTTTAGTGGTTGGTATGCTTGTGAACCTGGTTCGGTGGTTGGTATGATTGTGAACCTGGTCTGATGGTTGGTTTAGGGTTGTGAACCTGGATCTGAAACTAGATCTGATTGTAGTCCTGGGATGGTTCTGAACTTGGATCTGTGGTTGGTATGGTTGTGAACCGTTTTTTTTTTGTTCTTGGTATGATTGTGAACCTGGTTTGGTGGTTGGTATGATTGGTATATAGCTCGTTCGGTTGTTTTGATATGGTTTTGAACCTGGTTCGATGGTCGGTATCGTTGTGGACAACCTGGATCTGATTTTTTCCCGGGATGGCTGTGCACCTGGATTTTTTTGTAAGCACCTAGGGAGAGGCTCCATCTATTGGTGGGGAGCAGGGAGCATCACCTGCTGGAAAACGGGTCCAGCATCCCATATACAGATACGAATCAGGAAAAAAGAGTGTTAAAGTGTTTGCTATCCTTTTGAATCTGGTTTGGAGCGTGGTATGCTTGTGAACCTGGTTTGGAGCTTGGTGTTGCTTGTGAACCTGGTTGTGCTAGTTGGTATGGTTGTGACCCTGGTTTGGTGATTGGTATACCTGGTTCAGTCTTTGGTGGTTGGTATGGCTGTGAACCTGGTTCAGTCTTTGGTTTAGGGTTGTGGACCTGCATCTGTAGTTAGCACGCTTGTGAACTTGGTTCTGCGGTTGGAATGGTTGTAAATGTGGACTTGTGCTTGATATGTCTGCCAACGCCGTATGTCTGTGCTTGGTTTTGCGGGTCGGACCAATCAACAGTACACAGTGTTCGAACAGCTGCGCGCGCGTACATTGACGATCCAACAGCGTGAACACGGAGTCAGTTCAAGGACATCTTCCAGGCTGCCGGAGAGGGACAAAATGGTGCCGGCACCATTCGCACTTTCAGCTTTCGTGGCATTTGTGTTGGGTGCCTTGTCGAAAACAGCAGCAACCATTGCAACGTATCCTGCAATCAGGTAAGGCAACTGACGCAAGGCACGTGCTGCCATCTCCGCCTTTTTTTTTTTTTTTTTTTTTTTACTTATACATATGTTTGTTGTATTTTTTTTTGTTTGCAACTTTGCATGCGTTCTGTGGGATTTTTTGTTTCTTTCTTCAAGAATTTTTTTTTCCCTGTTTTTCTGATTCCATCTGGATTCAAACAACAGTTTGTGGTTGTACCACCACGCGTTCTGTGGGGGAATTGCTGCTGGTGAAACGGTTTTCACCTTTGCAGAAGCAGATGCAGATCCCGGGGCTCGATCCCTAGACCTTACTTACACCCGTGTACAGTATCGAGTAGACCCCTGTGTGTTTTGAGCCGTGACCTCCGTTTTGGTAGTTGACTGTTGTCTGTTGTAGGACTGTGTAGCTGTAGGGGTTCGATCTGTAGGTCTGTCGAGTAGGGGTCATAGTTGTAAAGTGACCGTAGCTGTAGTAATTCTGAAAGGTCAAGGTCGTAGCTGCTACAGTCCTGAAAGGTCAAGGTCGTAGCTGCTACAGTCCCGAAAGGCCAAGTCCACAGACTTCCGGAAGGTCTGGAAGTGGCCTTTCGAGTTTTCTTCTCACGTTTCTCATGGCAGGCCAGAGGCAAGTGGGCAAGTGGTGAGTCCAACCCCGCTTAGTCAGCGGTACCCAGTCGCAGTCTCACTTCATCCAGTCAGCAAGTATCATGTGGGACGTGTGCACCATGGGCCCCGTGGAAAGGGCAGACCAGCAACTTACAGAAGTATAAATCAAGAGGCAGCGTCCAGCCATTCATTCATTCCTGCGTGAGCCATGCGGAAGCGCTGCCCAGGCGTCTTGTGCGAGGTGGTCTGCAGAAGCCCGAGGTTGAAGTGGGCTGAAGAGAGGGATAGTTCGTCCATAGCCAGTAGCAGTAGAGCGGCCATAGCCGCTGCAGTTTAGAGAGGAGAGTTCAGCGTGTGTGTGTGCGCTTCGTGCAGAGTTGTGTGCGTGGGATATCCAGGGTGATCCAGAGACAAGTGCGTGCGAACAGTCTGTGGACACAGAGTCGGACAAAGGATGTGTGGGCGCTCAGGCGCCATACCCAGTCGGAAGTGAGTTTGTAACTAAACTGTGTTCTCAACTTGAGTATCTCTGAGCTTTGTGTGGCCGCACAGCGCCAGCGTGATTCGCCACCCAGCGCCAGCGTGATTCGCCACCTGTTTGCATGTCTGTGGAGCGAAGAAGAAAGCGAGTCTGATTGCACTGGCATCTTTACGTTTCGGTAACTTGCCTCAACTTGGATTCGAACTTGGTACCTTCCATCAAAACTTTGGCAGAGTGAGGGCATACTCACACTAGGCCCTCAAAATCGCAAAATCGCAAATTGAGTGGCCAGATGGAGTTTTGTAAACGAAGGACTCGATCTGGCTGCTCATTTCGCGATTTTGTGATTTTGAGGGCCTAGTGTGAGTGTACTCTGACTTGGGCATCCGTCACCTTTATGCTCCTCAATATGCTTAAACCACCAGTACTTGGTCCAGCCATTTTTCTCCGATGCAGCTATCGCGCCGCGAGTTTTAAGGGGTCGGTTGTCGATGCGCCGCAAGTTTAAGGTGTCGGTTGTCAATGCGCCTCGAGTTTAAGGGGTCAGCTGGGGTCGGTTGTCGATGCGCCGCAAGTTTAAGGTGTCGGTTGTCAATGCGCCTCGAGTTTAAGGGGTCAGCTGCAATAGCAACATGGCTGGCGGCGCCATCCAAAAGCAAGTTGTGCCAATTCAAGCGTCCGTGGTATGCAGGGCAGCGTTTCCACGCTCGTCGCTCGGCAAGGGAAGGGTCAAGACTCAAAAGTACTCTGGTGGCTTAAACCACCAGCCACCCGTACGTCCAATCCGCTTTTTTCCGGTGCCGATTTTGTTCTGCCGCATGCCAAGTTTTGCCGAACGGGCGTCAGGCGATCGCGGCTTTTTTGCTGGCACAGCCAGTCTTTTCCTTTGGCGCACCGAGCCCCAAAGGACGCACCGCCGTGTTGGAACAAAACAGCTGGCAAATGTACAGGTGGTTTAAGCAAAATTTTAAAGCACTCATTGTGTGCGACTGGAGACTCCCGGGCCAGGATTCCGCTACCAGCAGGGATGAAAGACAGAAATATTGACAGCAGATATTAACAAAGAGATCGATGGTCAGTATCTGTTAATCCGTGCTGGCGAAACATCCGCCCCATTGATTGCGTTGCAACCTGCGAACAGTTATCATCCGCCGTAACACCTCACGTCAGGACAGAGGGATGGGCCTGATGTCGGGCAATTTAGTAGACAGATGGACAGACGGACAGACGGAACTGCAGACACGTGGAAAGACGGAGAGAAGTACCTACGATCATTCAGGTGTAGAGAGAACCCGCCACTTTGGGTCCCACCTTATACATTCATCATGACTGGGGTTTCGTTGTATTAGGCGGAAGAAGGTAGGGGGAAGAAGCTTCAAGGTACCTTCTTCCGCCGAATACCACGTACGGTCATTATAGCTGAATTTGGGGTATCTTTCAGTCTACATTCACAGCTATAATGACCTCACGTTCTATTCGGGGGAAGACTGTACACAACGCTTTCGATATCCTGTCTTGTTCTGAGAGAGGTTCTGTCATCCTCCAGGATGTCCTGCTTGCGATTTGCGATACACACAATATGTAAGTGTTTTTTTTTTTTTTTTTAATTTAAATTTGGATTTTTTTTATTTTTATTTTTTAATTTAAATTTGGACCACTTCTCGATTTATGCGTGTCATCCTTGCGCAGGGGCCATGCTAATCTTCATTCTCTGTATCGTTCCAATTTTAACGGATGTCACGAAGGACTATGTAAGTGTGTTTTTTTCTTTTGAAGTGAGTTGTGAATTCGGATATCCAATATGTTAGTGGCGGCGTACACGATGCAGGCAATCTAGACGAATGGACTTGGCGAAACACAGTATGGCATGCTTGTCTGTGCGAAGCGGCCACCAGTACCGACCCCATTTTTCGTACGCCCCAGGGTCGAATGAATATGGACCCCAGGGGCAGACCGATTTGGCTACCGTGTTAACGGGGACGCATCAACCGGTAGGTACTGGTGGTTTAAAGGGCTACTTTTACCTTCGGCGTCCAGACAGAACTCCCAGTTGCAATGAATGTTTACCGCCCCTGTTGCAGTCCAGATACAGTCATGAACTAGATCCCAAACTCCACCCACACCAGTAACCCAAAATATCGCACCTTAGAAAACTCTAAACCACAACCCCCAACTCCCAAACCCTAAAGCCTAACCCTGCAGAACCCAAAGGGCAAACCGCAAACCCTAGTCCTACAACCATAGACCCTAAACCCTACGTACCAGACCCATGACTTTTTTTTTTTTTTTTTTTTTTAATAAAGGTGTGGCCGACCCTAAAACCCTAAACCCTAAACAACAAACCCTCAAGCCGAACTCCAGACCCTAAACCATAGGTGCTAAAACCTAAATCCTTAAAACCAGGGCTGTAAACCCGGTCCCACCGGGGGGTCCACCCCCAACCGGAACCGGGCCGGTGGGACCGGCCGGTCCACCGGGCCGGTTGCCCTCCAGTCGGCCATAGTGCATAGGCAAATACTGGCCGATTTGAATTTTTTTGGGTCCAGGAGGCCCCCATGCGGGTTGTGGGGGCCTCCTGGCCCTAAAAAAAATTGAAACGGGTCCGGCAGGGCAGTCTCCAAGTTTCGAAAAGGGGCTGCCTCTTTGGACGGCTGATCTTGAAAGATCGGCGTCCCAGATGAGGCCTCCCTTTTCGAAAATTGGAGGAGCTGCCGTTCCCTCCCGCGTACGACTTCCCGCCTCCCCCCGACTCACCAGCCGTCACGTCAACAAGCCAACGCCCCGGCCGTCGTCATCATCATCGTCATCGTCACCATCGTGCAGCGAAGCCAGCCTCCCCGCCCGCCGGCGCACCACAGGTACGTTTTCTTCTTCTTCTTCTTCTTCTTCTTCTTCTTCTTCTTCTTACATTGTGTGGAAGCGTAGGCGCGCGAGTAGACGCGCAGTACACACACACACACACACACACACACACACACACACACACACAGAGAGAGAGAGGGAGAGAGAGAGAGAGAGAGAGAGAGAGAGAGAGAGAGAGAGAGAGAGAGAGAGTAGGCGCAAGAGTAGGCGCGCGGTAGAGAGAGAGAGGGCACTTGGTAGAGAGAGAGAGAGTAGGTGTGCG